AATGTCGACCGAGCACCGCATCAAGTCGCTGAAACTGCGACTTAAAAGTTTGGTGACGTCGCTTAACTTAATCAAGGCGTTCGTAGACGCCTATGATGATGAGATACAGGCTGACGAAGTGCCTGTCCGCCTCGAAAGTCTGATCAGACTGTGGACGGACTACAATACCGTCCAGAGCGAGCTGGAGACGCTCGATGAAGCTGCCATCGAGACCCACCTGAAGGAGCGGACGTCGCATGAGTCTGCCTACTATTATGTAAAGGGCTTTCTACTGGCCTGAAATAAAAACCCAATTACGCCAACCCACACTAATAGAATTGCACACATTTTCAGTCATGAATTTTCATGTGAAACTCCACATGATTGTCATGTGACCGCTCATAAACAGAATCTACCCAGAAGCACACATGAAATTTATGAGTTAAATTAATAGTATGTGTGGTTACAAATGACTTTTATGTGTACACATAAAAACAATATTTGAAATTTTATTAGTGCACTATTCTTCCAATCAATCAGAGATGCAATTCCCTCTGTCGACATCGCAGGTGCGGTTGCCCGACGTTAAACTCCCCGTCTTCGATGGAAAACTAGATAATTGATTAAAGTTCCACGTTTTTTTTTGTGGTCCACTCGTCGATTGGTCTCGAATTTTTCGAAGCTTTTGGTGGAAGAAAAGGAGAAGGAAGTCTGTCGTCATCAACTTTGCCGGAAGTGCCTGCGAAAAGGCCATCTCTCGAGGGATTGTTCGTCGTCCACTAATTGCCGCAAGTGTCGTGGACGTCATCATACCCTGCCCTGCTCGAACCATTCTTCTTCGTCGTGGAATTTGAAACCTATTAGCTCCCAGCAACCGAAATCTGTTACACCTGCTCCAGCAACCGATCCTCCGACCACGTCAGCATCTGCTACGGTCGTCGAGTCGATCAGTTGTGTTTCCGCTGGCCACAAGCGGAAGGCAATCCTTCTAGCAACTGCGGTCATCATCTTGATCGACGACGAAGGAGTCCAACACGTCGCTCGCGCTCTCCTGGACTCAGGTAGCGAATGCTGCTTTATAACATAACGCTTTTCACAACGCATCAAGGCTCAAAGGAAGAAGATTTACCTGTCGATCACCGGAATCGGTCAAGCATTCACTCAAGCTAAGCTGAAGTTTACGTCCACTATCCGTTCTCGAGTTGGTGAGTACTCCACCAACGTCGAATTCCTCGTTCTGCCGAAGGTGACCGTCGATCTACCAGCTACATCCGTCGAAACTTTGACATGGGACATGCCACCTAGCATTCAGCTTGCAGATCCGTCGTTTGACAGCACCAATCCGATCGACATCATTATTGGAGCCGAAAATTTTTTTGTTCTGGTCAACGAATTCCTCTCGGCGACTATCTTCCAGTGCTGGTCAACTCCGTCTTTGGTTGGGTAGTAGCTGGGAAGTCCACGATCAATCCGTCTACCGCTCTCGTCGTTGCTAACGTCGCTACAGTTTCAGATATTCATCAGCTAATGGAAAAGTTCTGGACGATCGAGAAAGACAGCACATCGACAGCGTACTCCGTCGAAGAAACCACTTGCGAAGAACACTTTCGACGCGCGGTCAGGCGCAATTCTGAAGGAAGGTACATCGTTCGCTTGCCACTGAAGGATGACGTCATAAAGCAACTTGGCGACAACCGTCGCACTACTGGTCGTCGTTTTCGAATGCTGGAAGGTCGTCTTGGTCGTAGCGCAGACCTTGCCAAGCAATATCGTGATTTCATGGATAAGTATCTGACTTTGAGCCACATGAAGCAAGTGTTTGACTACCAAGCGTCTCCATCTCCATGTTATCACATGCCCAGGCTTCCAAAAAGTACAGCCTCCTCGCGACAGTTGGTTTATACCTGAATTGACTGTTGCTTTGTGTGCTTTACTACCGCTTGCTACCGTACGTTCAGATCTGAATTCGAAGTGTATTGGCAACAGCGCACGCACCAACGAATGAAAGCTGTATTAGAACAGTCGCATCTATACCCGCTTTGCTAAAATCATCGTGCTTGGAACGTAGTGAACCGAATGGGCTGTATTTATACATTTCTTTATTACCAGGTTCTCAATGTTTCTGTCGTCATAACAGCCTTCACAAACCGACGACATCCCTCAGCTTACCCAAGTGGCTGTCACGAAAAGGCTGTCACGAGACATTATATACAATTAATATACGGCAGTAGAGTATGGAAGAAACCCAGAAGAATGATCCCGAACAGATATGTCGGCCCGATGTCGGATCAATGTAAGGTCAATTTACGGTCGACGTCGGCCAAATGTCGGGTCGATGTCGGGTCAATTATGTGTTTATGTCGGGTCAATGTCGGGCCAACATCGGGTTGGGGTTTGATAGAAGTCAGGTTGGTGTCGGGTAGGCTTATATTTTTCGTCGGAGACCGTGCGTTTTTAAAAAAAAATCGGATGAAAATTTTGCAATGGGCAGCACGAACGTGATATCAACCGAACGAGCTCCGGCGCCACACTGGTAGTGTAGTAGCAGTCTTACGACACACAAACAAAATTTCAAAGCCAGCAGCAACGAATCGGCAGTTTGACGGACTGCTTGTTGTATGTACGAGGAACGTAACGAATGACCATCCGAGGCTGTCATAGCCGAACGAACAAAATACATGACTAAGAACGAGCTGTCGTGTACTGCACAAGACGGCAACGTTGCATGTCGTATAACAGCCTCACTGTGGGCTGTCGCTTATAGCTCAATCTCAAGGCTGTCGTAGGAAAAAGAAAGCGACAGCCGTTGGAATACTGTCATGAGGCGGTACTTTTTGTATGCCTGCACATGCCTCACCGCGCCACGCCTGTGGTTCGAGAAGAGAGCACTACCACGAAGCTGCGAGTGGTATTCGATGCGTCATGCAAGACTTCGGAAGGACCATCACTCAACGACGCACTCATGGTAGGTACAACCGTTCAGCAAGACATCCCTTCAATTATCATGCGCTCCAGATTCCGTCGAGTCATGATAATCGCTGACGCAAAGCAAATGTATCGGCAACTTCTCGTAGATGAGCGCCCGCGCTTCTACGAATCGTTTGGACGCCATCGCCGGACCTACCATTAGGTCCCTACGAGCTCCTAACAGTCACATACGGCACTGCAAGCGCACCTCGCTACTCAAGTTCTCCTGCAACTGGCAGATGACGAGCAAGAGAGTTTCCCTGAAGCAGTTGAGATTCTACGTAAGGACTTCTACGTAAACGACCTTTTCTCGGGAGCAAAAAGCGTCGAAGAAGCAATCGAACTCCGTCAGCAACTGGAAGCACTCCTTGCTAAGGGCAGATTCCAACTTCGTAAGTGGGCATCCAACCAAGAAACTGTTCTGGATGGCCTCGCACCAGAAAATCGAGCACTCAAAGCCTGCATTGACCTGGATCGTGACTGCATCAAGTCTTTGGGTCTTCATTGGAAACCCGCATCAGATCTGCTAAAATACCGCATCGAGCTTCTGGCAGACTCGTCTGATTCTCCTCTCACCAAGCGAATCACGTTGTCGCAAATTTCTCGTCTCTTCGACCACTTGAGATCTACTGGGTCCGGTTGTAATCTCTGCCAAACTCTTCATGCAAGCACTCTGGACGTTGAAGGACGATGACGGCAAGGTTTGGAACTGGGACCAAGAACTTTCGATGCCACTAAGGGAACGTTGGAATATCTACCGTTCTCAGCTACCTCTTCTCAACAGCCTTCGTAACGAGCGGTACATTCTTTCTTCGACTCCCTCAAGCGTTCAGTACCACTTCTTCTTAGACGCTTCTCAGCACGAATACGGCGCGTGCTGCTACATTCGATCGGCAGACTCTTTTGGAGCAGTAAAAGTAGCCCTGCTGACCGCTAGATCCAAGGTAGCATCCTTAAAACAGCAGAGCATTCCTCGTCTAGAACTTCTCGCCACCGAACTCTACCAAAAGGTGAATCTGAACAACTCCCATCGCAAATTTGAAAGCAATGGTGATTAAATTTCGCCCATCACCATGAAGATGTATTCTAAACACACCTGGGATCCCTGCTTACAGGTAACAAATCCTGATAAGGAGCCAAAGGAACAGGGTGATACTTTTTAGTACTTTCCTCGAGCTAGGGACACTTACACCCAGGGGGCCTCATGGAACACAAATATGGTCTTTTCTCTCTCGTGGAATCTTGTGTAGCAACAAAATTATCTGTCTTAGAGACTTGTGTTTGCACTCCAGTGTAATTAGCATATAAAGTTGAACAGATTTGTGAACTAATTGATTGGATTTCGGATCTTTACGTTAGCTACTTATCATTTTCATTTTCGTGAGTAATCAAAATATGTACCGGAAAAGTTTGTAAGCCATTCTAACTTTTCGTGATCTTTTCCATTACTGTGTTGCATTTTTGATTAGGTATCTTTGTTTTCACTCATCTCGAACAGTGAGCAGCATGGTAAAGATGCTGTAAATGGTTTTGTAGACTTGAAGAAATGTAGGCATGTTTAAAGGGGCGAAAATAAGGGTTAAACAAACAGGTTCCTGAGCGGCTTTTAATAGAAACCGAAGCGATTTTTGGTTCACTATCGACAGTCTGTACCATGGGATGTTGTAAATTTCACGCTGAAACTGTTCGTTCTGAGGGACGAAAATAATGGGTTTATGATTATAAATTCATTATTTCTAATAAGCCACTATTACCTTAATTGCAAGAAATGTACCAAGAAAGCATCCGAAAAACAGTTGATAGCTTACGAATAAAATAAACACAATTCCTTGATACCATGAAAGCTGTGAAATATTTGTTTTAAGTATGGTTCGAATTCTTTCAATAACAAATATGTTACCGTAACTACTGCAAATAGAGAAAGCACCAAAACCGATGACAAACTGACAAAAGTCACGAGAAAATTAACACGGAAAACTGTTTCAACCTGTCGTAAATAGCTGCAAAAGTATTCAAAATTATTATTTCCTACATAAATATAGATAAAATTCTGCTCACTGTAAATGCTCCTGATGTCGTTTAATAATGTGTTCAAAACAGGTATCTACTTCAATGTCATTGGCTTCAATGCGCCGGCTCAGTTCCTTTAGAGATTCCATAATCAAATCGATTTGTGTGAAAGAATTCATCGAAAGTAGCATATAAATACAGTCAGGACCCATGTCGCATGACGAGACGAAGACAGTCAAAACGATCTGCACCAAATAGTTGATCGTGTATCCAGACAATGAAAAGCGATCAATAAATGGGACGTGGAATCCAAATGGTAGCATTTTTTCACCCGTAAAAGCGAGTATCAACAAAGGAGCAAAATCTAATGAAAAACTCGTGAAAGCATAACAGACCAGCATAGCCTTTAAAATAACACTCAGTAGAAATACGTTTTTTGATAACAGAACTCTTGTACGTGAATTGCATTCCTCCCTGTAGAGCATCTCGGTGTACTGATGGAGCCAAACAAGCTTCTTCCGGAATATCGCAAAGGTGATGATTTTTGAGGCGCCTTGAATTGCGATACCAATAGTTATCCAACAATTGATTAGATCTTCCGTACTATGACGCAATTCGTATGCCGATGTTGTATTGATACAAAAATAAACTGTCATGTAGATTATTGACATGATAACACACACATTGGGTATCTTGTAGTTTGCACTAAATACATCCATTCCAGAAAATTTCGAAACTAGATTCGGAACTTTGATTTGGTGGGAATAGAATTCAGCTGGTTCTTTGTAGGAATACTGAAAGAACCTAAATCTTTTCAATGTTTCTATGAAATTCATTGCACGAGGTTGATTCGCTAAATGGCACAAAAGCTAATGTTAATCCAAACACCGCAAGCGCCAATATATATGAAATGATTTATCCGTGGGGAAAAAAACACCATGCAGTTGGAGTTATTGATGCAAGCCTACAATTTTCAAAATGTAGAAAATTACGCCCACAAAATCACCGTACGTTACTGTAAACAACCATTTATTTTCTCTGTTATAAGTGCTGGGTAAAATATTTCATTTGAAGCTTGTAAAAGATGATTCATTCTGACCGACACTCACTTATTTTTGCATGGAATTTTCAAGCTCTTCGACTCAAGGCCAGGTCGAAAGGGGCATTGATGGGTAAGGAAGGGGTGTCCACCAGGATGGTCAGTTTTGCAAGTGTCTTCGTCGGATAAATCCGTTTTAGTATCGGTCACTGACGGGTGGCGAGGCAAAGTGATTAGCAAGGACATCTGTTATGGTTGAGGGATCGCGCGTGAATCACTTGTAAGGCGAGTTTCATCATCAAGTGGTTCCTTACCAAGAGCTCCAGGTCCCCGAGGATATTTTAGAAACCATTAATGTTCCACTGGATGTCGAAGGTTATTGTGTGAATAATTCATTTAAATTTCTACGATATACATATAGCACACGCTAGATTTGGCGTAATTTTACAGTTTGCTTCATGTAAATTTAAGCGCAATACCGCACAAATATGTAATTTTGTATACAAGCTTGTAAGTAATTTCGATGTTTAGGCTCAAAATTAAATACGAGGAAATTTTAAGCTACAGTTAAAAATCAGATTTATTTTTCTATATGGAGACATTCCGCTTACCGGATTAAGGTTTCGGGGAGGGATCTACCGACACACAGTGGGGCAGCGAAGCCATTCGCGTGGCCAACACCTCTAGCGCTGTTGGTTTACTCACTACAGTTTTACAATGTTCTACAAAGTTGCTCAGTATTAAAAGTGACATCTTTTGACAGTTTCTGATTAGTTCATGTTTACCATTTCATGTACGCTAATCCAATATATACCCATTATTTATATCATGATTTATTTAAACATAAATGTCTCAAAAATGTTATGTATAAATAGGTCAATTAAAAATATTGCCAAAAGTAGCAGCCAACTTTTTACAGTGATTAGTGTAGAACTTGTTGGGTAAATAACGACCACAGTTCAACAGGCAACTGCAGGCATTTTCATATAACACCATTTAAATATTGCATACGGTAGATTCTTTTACATTTGTTGATAAATTTATGTGTGTGTAAAACATGACAAGATGTTATTGATCTGAATAGATTACAAACAATCAGAAACACAAATTATAATCCAACTCACTGAGCATTTTGACTACTTTAAAATTGCTAAGTTGTATGATTTTTGATCTAATTTCCGTCTTACTAAGCACACCCCGCGCTTTATCTCTCTTTTTTGAACGGGTTTCAACAAAAAAAATAATATTTCTATCAAAGATGACTTCTAAATTTATTCACCTTTCCATACGTACCGTTGGATTTGATCAAGATTCACAAACTGTTGAGATATTGTTCAAAATCTAATACTGCTGCTTGATTCTAAATTCGTCCTACGAGTTTCAATTCCGTCCTAACACATTGAAACGCAATTAGATTTTCTTCGTCCTACGGATAAACGTAGAAAAAGAGGATTCGCTAGGAGCGCTTCGTTTGTTTTTTTCGCGTACATATTCATACAATGCGCTCTAATATGATTTATGTTGTAGCTAATGAACTAATCGCCCATTTCCGTTCTATCGAGCAGAAATCATCAATAATATCAATGATTTCACCATGCACAAAACATTCATACGTTTGATCCGACCCGTTAGTTTATAAGCCACAACACAAAGCATATTACAACGCATTGTATGAATACCTATTTACACTCATTGTTCTCAAAACAAAAGAAGCGCTCCTAGCGAATCCACTTTTTCTACCATCATCCTTAGGACGAAGAAAATCTAATGGCGTTTCAATGCTTTAGGATGGAATCGAAACTCGTAGGACGAATTTAGAATGAAGAAGCAGTGTTAGATTTTTAATAATATCTTAACATTGATTGACTCTTTATCAAATCCAACGGTTCGTATGGAAAGGTGAATAAATTTAGAAGTTATCTTTGATGAAAACATTCCATGTTTTGGTCAAACCCTTTCAAAAAAGAGAGGTAAAGTGCGAGATGTGCTTAGTAGGACGGAAATTAGATCAAAACCCTCACTTCGCCAGTTGCCAACTGTACTAGCAATGCCAACAGTCTTCTCTGACGTTTGTAAATTGCACAAGTTTAGTGCAGAACTTTGGGAAAATTCAAAGGTTTTCTTGTACTAACACTAATTTATTTATTTATTTATTTATTTCGTCAACCAACGTAGACTAATCCATATTCGAATACAGTTTTGTTTTTTTGAATTTATTTATTTATTTCTTCAACTTTGGACAAAAGGTTAAAATTATAATTTTGTCTTTAATAAAAATTAAGCAGTGTCAGATTTCCTATTTTTTATGAGTTATATTGCCTTATGGAGTAAAAATATTGTTTTAGTTTATGCCGAGACATTGTAAAGTCAATGGTTTCGCAGTATTGATTGTAAGAGGTCATCATGCGGTTTAATGGCCCATATTTTGCATAATTTGTGCGATGATGTTTTATGGCAAATAAATTTCGATTTCGGAGTTGCCGAGTAGGTGCATGGAAATTGAATTTTGATAAAAGTTCTGTGGAGTCAATGCGCTGCGAAACGATATCGTTTACAAATGAAACCATTGCATATTCACGACGCTCTTTAAATTTTTGTATGTTTATAAGCATGCAGCGTGCTTCATATGATGGAAGAGGAAATGATGTCCAACCTTATTTACGAAGAGCGTATAATAGAAATTGTTTTTGTACGGATTCTAATCTTTCTTCGTGCGTGATTGAAAAAGGAGACCATACAATGCTGCAATATTCCAGTATTGACCTCACATAGGCAATATATACCTAGTGTTTTAATTGTGTATGGGTCCTGAAAGTTATAGCAAAAGCGCTTGATAAAGCCTAGCATGTTATTTGCTCTGTGAATAATTGTGTTGTAATGATCTATGAAAGTTAGTTTAGAGTCTAAGATAATTTCTAAATCCCTCACTCTTTCACATTTTTCTACATTTTGATTTCCTAGTGCAATTGAAATATTTGAAGTTGTTCTTTTCCTGCTAAATGATATTAAGTTGTATTTATTTACATTCAATTCTAGTAAACTTTTTTTGCACCATATGTAGAATATGCGTATTTCATTCCGGGATATATTGATGTCTTTTTCATTTCTTATTTCCAAAAAGAGCTTCATGTCGTCGGCATAAATAAGCAATTTAAGTTTTTTGAGAATGAAAGAAATGTCGTTTACGTATAGAATAAAAAGAAGAGGTCCCAAATGAGAGCCTTGGGGGACGCCTGAAGTGACTTGAATTGGACTCGATTTCTTTCCGTTGAATTTAATTATTTGTTGGCGGTTAGTTAAATATGATTCACCCCGAGTTCTGCACTAATATTCGTGCATATCACAAACGTCAGAAAGGTCTATATAACGAAAAAAAAAACAGAAGTTTTAAATGTCAATAATGCAGATTTTTTAGTTACTTAACCAAAACAAAAATTTGCCCGTGGGACGTTCGTCACAATCACGTTTTTAAAAATAGTGCTGGTGTGCTTCGTAGTGTGAGAATATACGTAAAAAAACGCTGTGCTCTGATACGAAAACGTTGGAATGCATGTAATCGTATTGAAAAAAGATTTAAGACCGTAAATGAACGATGGGTTACAGAAGAAGTTCCATTTGGAGAAAACATTCCAACACTTGCAGGTATGTAAATTAAAACAACCAACTAAGGGACCATCCACAAATGACGCAGCATTTTAGGAGGGAGGGGATATGACGCTAACAATGATTGATGGCAAGGTGTGTAATGCACTTACTAAAACTAAGTCTGCACAGAGGTGTTATGTCTCTGGTGCTCTGCCGAAAGACATGAATGATTTGGATAACGTTATGCACAGACAAGTCGATGAACGTTGCTTAGAATTTGAAATGGACTCTGCATGCTTATATAAGATTATTTAAGTGGTAGTTTCATCAGCAGGGCAAACTTTTAAACGCACAGTTTCATGGATTGCCACATGCTAACATTTATTTGATTGCCACATGCATTTAGTTTATTTGACATTATTGTTTATAACGAAATACAATTTTACTTACAGCTTCGATGTTTTCTGGTTATGGAAAAGCAATCGTTCCATTTAAAATTCAAGCATTTTCAGTCTACCTGTGCTGTCTATTGTTTTCACTGTTCCTATGTGATAAGCCAGTTGACAGTACTAGTAAACAACAGAAAACACCGAAACATACATTTAAACTCCGAAACGTAGTCAAGGGGTACATCGATTGGCTTCTTACGCAACACTCCCCCAGGTGCGCAATTTTTGAATTGATAAAGCGAAAAACCATCCTCACTGCGTCCTAGCAAGAAGTACGGTCGACTTGTTTCGCGCTCCGTTGTTTTGGAAGTTTTCTCGGTATTCGCTTGATATAAATTATCAGTTTTTTCTCACTAAGTGACTCCTGGCATAGTTCCCGGTAAATTGATCGAAAAGTGAGTTTTTTTGTAGTAGAAAGTGTCATTTTCGGAACGATTAATCCGTGCTATTGGTAATTCGCAAACCAATTTGGGCATCATCGTTGCGTGGTCACGCATACGCGCTCACGCATACCCGCTTACGTATCATCATCATCGAGTGTGAGCACCCGTTTCTACATCTACATCGTTCATCAATCATCGTGCGCCTGTGTGTGCTGAGTACCGAGCCTCGATCAAGTGCACCACAACGAAGGTCATCCACGCAGCGCGTCTCTTCCAGCCATCTGTGTAAACGCCTACACATATAACGCTCGGTGGTAGAAGTATAGAATTATCAGATAAGTTTTTGTTTTTTTTTTGTTTCTTTTCCTCCTCCATTAGTT